CAGATGACATCTCATTATCGCATCTCATTTATTTATTTTATAAAGAAGTACATCCAATAAGACAATACAATCTAATTAGTTAAAAAAAATAAAAAAATAATAATTTTGGAACCAAAATTTCCAATCCTAGTGCTTCAGAAAAACTCTACAATGCACAATCACAACACTCAATTCAGATATTTGTTACTACAATTGATGTTATAACATTAATACATATTAATTACTTTTAAAATATATTATTTATAATATTAGTATTCTTAATTATGTAATAAATATCTTAGTTGAGAGCAATTCGAAATCTCAGTCTTAAAAACAAATTTTAATTTCGTTTTATGATCAATCAGATAGTGATACCACACCACATCGTTAGAGTTAACAATTAGATGACTGAAATGAATTTCTTCTTCTTCTTCTTCTTCTTCTTCTTCTTCTTCTTCTTAATAATGGCGCCTAAATTCATAGCATTTTAAAAATTGGAAGGCCGACGAAGTAGTTTCTCCTGATTTTTAATACAATAATTCAATAAATAATATTTCATTCCATACAATTAAAATAAAACATCATTCGAATTGCTGAATATGAATAAAATATACCTAACTATTTTTATATAATAGCAAAAGAAGATAATTAAATTCAAAATGAAAATAATATTATTTTTTGAACTTTTGGTTACATGAGAAAATTTCAAATTCGTTCATACCACAAATAGATCGTCACAAAACAAAGCAACAAAGCTGATCCAAGTGATGGTCATTTGTCCATAAAGGTGTCAGAGCGTTGAACAATGAGCATGGGGTCAATTCCCAGCTCTACCTTAGGAAGCAAAACTCAGTAAACTATTTTTTTTTTGTACCTAGAATAATTACATTAATAACTCCAAAAAAGGGGAGCATTTAGCCCCATTTTTTAATCAGTCCCTGAGATGAAATGAATATAAATGTGCAGAATTTACCACATGCACAAGAGGGCAGAGCTTGATCTTCAGCAGGACTAGCAGGTAGTTTCAGCCAGCAGCTGCAGTTGAATTGCCTTGTAGCACTGCAGGCTACAAAGAGGTAGCTTTGACTTCGAATCTCGATACCTGTATGGGTTAGCGCACAATGGCCCCGCACAGTTTTCACGAGGAGAAGTGTAACAAGATATTCAGACCGAAAACATAAGGAACCAAACATTTGTTAAACTGAATCAACTTGAACAATGCAAGGGGTAAATACCTCCAGGGTTTGGAATCAAATATAGTAGGGAAACCCAAATCCCGGGGAAATTTCACAGTTGTTCCTGCAGGACCCATGACCAATCTGATGGTATTTGATGCAAGCATCTCTTCATTAACAGCCTTTTCCTATACATATATGAAAAGATTAGACAAAATGACATTAATTTATAAGACTTGCAAAAAAACAATTACGTTTCAGTAAACTTTTGTTTCCAAGCACCTGTGCCATTTCTTCTTGACGCTTTTTCATCTTTTCTTCCCGCTTCTTCCTACTGGAGTCTTGGCCAAGCATTTTTCTAATAGCCTCGGCCTAAAAAATTAATTCAAACAAGCTCAACTTTTTGCATAGAATTTTTAAAATTAATATTCAAACATATGATGATCGGGAGAGGGGAACAAACCTCAGATTCCCTGTTGGCCTTTTCAACTTGCATCCTTCTTCTCTGAGCAGCCTCCACCTTCTTTAGCTGCTGCTCCACTTCTGAGAGTTTCTCCTTTTCCTCTACAATCCATAACAATTACTGTAAAAAGGGAGGGCAATGACCAATAAATTGCATAAAGTATTATGGCTGAAACAATTGCTTACTTCTCGATGGGGCAGGCAGTAAACCATTTGGAAACTCAATTAAGCTTGAACCAGGTGCAGAAGAGGCATCTTTGCTTGATTGAAGAGCACGTTGACGTGTTGTGAGAGTTATTTCCCTCTTACTCTCCATTGATGTGTCAACAGGTTCTTTCCTCTGCTTCTTTTTCTTCTTACCCTCAAGCTCACTATCAGATACTAATTCATCTTCATCCTCATAGTCGGTATCCTCAGATACCTTATCTGATCTATGCTTCCTTTTCCCATTTTTGGCAGACCTCGATGTGCCAAAATTTTCTATGTTGGAAACTGTAGAGATCTTTTTCTGTTTCTTACTAGATTCATCCTCATCTTCCTTAAATTCTGTACTAATCTTTGAAGTTTTAAGTTTTTCCATGTAGCGGATCTCATCATCATTGTCATCTTCACTGAATTCCCAATCAAGTAGACGTTTCTTAGGGACCCGTTTGCTTTTATGAACCGTGTCACCATGGTCTCCTAGTTTACCAGAGATATTCTTTCCAGAAGTCTTTGCCACCAAAGAATCCTCCTTCCCAAAACCAAATCCACCTTTGGAGAAATCTTTCCAGGGTACACCTTGCAAGCCACTCCTATCTGTAGGTGAGTTCCCATCATTGGTACTTCCCTGCAATAAAAAGGCATAATAATAAGATCATGTGGAATTCGAAATGTTACTAAAAGATGTAAATAATAATTGTAAAGTACATTGATACATAATTTTCCTTACAAGTGCCAAGACTTTGCAATATTATTACCCAATCATTTAATCCCGCATGATCAGTCACCTAAAGGAATACAGTTCCATTAAATAATCCCATACATAATCTAGAGCATGATAATTTATATGGGTGCAGTCTCCTAAGGTATTGTAATTTTTAGCTCCTAAACTAGATCCTTCTTCAACACATTCCAAATGCCTCCTGCTATAAAATACATTGTACTCACTTAACTGAGAGGAAAGGCATCCACATTAAACAACAAAGGAGAACCCTTTTTCAATACAAAATTGCCATTATCAAACAAAAAACTAGCTACCTGGAGATTGTTCTTTCTCGCAGAAGACGCAGTCACTGGCAACCCATTATCTGCCAAGTTGGCATGAATTGTGCGCATGACTCCTCCAACCTTGAGTTTAACTTTTTTAACCTTGCTTTCATTACTATCAGTAACAGCTTGCACTGAACTCTGAATCTCAGCGTCCCTTGACTCTAATTTCGACCACTCCTTCCCCTTGCTTGTGCTTTTCCAATTACCAGGAGCAAGTACACCCTTGCCAGTACGCTTACTATTTAACCCGCTTCGCCCAGGCTCATTTTCATAAAATGCGTTGAACCCTCCATCTTTCTTTCTTTTATGAGTTTTCTCAAATTTCAACTTCAAAACCAGTATCAGGAGAAATCCTAGAAACATATTGATTAAGATTGGCTTCTTTCCGCTTTGAATTAGCATCACCACCAGCACTCTCATTGCTAGAGACCTTGCTCACACGGTGTCGATAACAAAGGCAAGTGATCTTGACTTTCAGAAAAAGACTGTGAATCAGGACGACGTCGGCGACAAGGCTGACTCCTCTTCATCTTCAAGGCATTGTTCACACCATTAAGGCAAGTACCAGAAAACTCTGCCATGGCGATAAATTGTTATTAGCTAACTTCCTGAGAAGGATGTTCCAGCAAGATCACTAATCCTAAAAGAAAGAAAAATCAAATTATGAGATTTAAATTGCATACATCCCAAATCATAACAAAGCAACTTCAATTTATCACAGCCAGATCAGATCAAACAAGAAAATGGAGAACAAAAAGGTTAAAGAATCTCACATATGATATAGCATCCTTAAAAACATGTAAAATACATAATAGAATGACAATTAATACTAGATCCCTGAAAACCGCTAGAAGCATGATCAAGCTAAAGGAATTTTACCAATGTAAACAATCAGAGACTTGAAATTTCATAAGCAATTGATCAAAATATCAAAATCAAGTAAATCGGGAAAGAAAGCAAAGAAATTCAAATGCAGTATAAGAGAGAATTACCCCAACTCCACAGGGTAAAAACCAAATAATTCTATGAAATAAATTGTTACAAACGATCAGAGAATAGAATTATCCCACAATTCTGAAAGGTCAAATCACCATCAAACGAAAAGCAAACCCGAGATTAAAAAACCCAAATTCCGACGAATCAATCCATCGAACGAGAAACCGATACTTGAAAATTTACCAGAATTCGACCCAGATCAAATCAGCAAACGGGACTACGTACCTTCTCGAGATAGCGGTAAAGAAGAAACCCAGGAACCCACGAAAGAGAAGGGAAGATAAAAAGGGAGAGGAAGGGGGAAAGAGAGAAAAGAAGGGAGAGGAAGGTAAATAGATTAGGTGAGGATGTGAAAGAAGAGTATAATGATTTTCGTAGAGGAGGGGAAAAGAAAGGAAGAGAAGGGTTAAAAGGAGAAAGAGGTTTTAGGGTTAGAGAAGGATGGACGGATGTGGTGGTAACAAATACAATCATCTCCTCGTTCACCATTTTTTTGCTATTGCCACACCCTCCCGTTGTGCTTTCCTTTTGGATGTGGGCTGGGAAGTTGGGGATTTTGGATTTTTAGATAATTTGACTCGGTGGGTTGACTCGCTGAAACGACTCACCCCCTCTTCTGTTTCTCGCGCCTTTTTCTTTCTCATTTCCCGTTCGTCCTTCATTTCTTTCCTTGTCTTTTCTTCACACGGTTTTACGCTGCAAAAAGCGTGCGCAAGTTAAAACCTTGCGCACTCGAATAGATATATTTTATTTTCGATAAAAAAATATTGTATTGATCCTTATAATATAGTTCAAAATGCATTTTAGTCCTTATAATTTTGAAATGAAAAAAATGTGTATATTAGAAAGACAAGAAAAATGATTAATTTTAGGATTGTTATTTAGTACACCATCACTGAAAGCAGTTGTGCAAAATAAAGACCAAAATAAAATCTTCATTAATGGACAAGGAGTTTTGCAATATTTTTACCTTTATTTTATTGCATATTACTTTTAAATATTGGAATAATATTTTTCGAATAATTATCATGGCTCTTTCAACCTGTATGCAGTTATAGAAGTTTAATATAATCCTATAAAGCCAATCTGATAAGAAAGGAAAAGAAAAGTTTAAAAACATATGTACAAAACTGCATGCCTGGAGAAAACTTAACAGTGATACAAAAACGATCAAGAAGAAGCGCCCATTTCTCATCCATCAAAATTCTACATAAACTAAAACCCCTCTGAAAATCCTATTTCAAAGTTCCTAATTTTCCTACTGGGAAAATTTCTCGTTCTTGTATTTCGTTGTCTGCTTCAATTACTCTCCCTTGGAAAGTGTTCATCGACCCTCATGAAGATCTTCAGAGGAAACTACTGTACGTGAGATGTTATTGTCTAAAGCACCGAGACCAGAGAAAGGACCGGAAGAAAACACCGAAGACGTCTCATCAGACTCGAAAGTAGTAGAAGACTGTCTCCGGTTGGGCAGGTTATTGGAAATGGTTGATGCGGAATCCTGATATTCCGTAACGCGCTGCACCATTTTTAACGACTGTACTACTTCACCCATTGTCGGCCTTTGACTTGCCTCAGGAGCAACACAAGCAGCGGCGATTATGCAAACCCGTATGAAATCTTCCTTCGGGTACTTCCCTCCAAGTCTTGGATCAGAAAGCTCTTCCAACCGACCCTTGTCTCTCAGGATTGGCCTCGCCTGAAAGAACAAATAACTTGAGTTATCTAGCAAGTCAAGAGATTAATAAAGGTTTATGTCTACTAATTCTTAATCAAATAAAATTCGGATATAGAAGCATTAGAGACGGTGAGGCTAACCCTAGGTTACTACTCACCCAGGTGACGAGGTTCTGTCCAGATGGCAGTGACATATCTACATGGGATTGTCTAAGGAAAGGCAGGTTAATATACGGTTAATATACGGTAGTACCGGATACATTAAAATATATTTAATAAATTCGGTTTAGCGGTACCTATTATGTTGACAACTAATAATGTTTTAGGTAGAAAATATGAAAAACTATTAAAAAAATTTGGTAACCGGTAAACTTTGGTTGTCGGTAAGTATCTATCCTTTTTATAAAAGTGTCCATACTTTTAACATATTAAGTAAATTTTACTGGTTTTATCATAATGAATCTGGTTTTGTCATATTTTTACCTGTTATATTGTAAAGTATCTATCCTTTTTATAAAAGTGTCCATACTTATTTCACTGTGAAAATATATTTATTATTATCTTTGGTTAATATTGTTAAATTTAAATTCTAAATAATATTTTATAAAATATCAAAACAATCAAATAATTTTGTGTGTAAATGAAATTATTAAATTAATATTGTAGGTAGAAAACATGAAACACTATTAAAAAAATTGAAACATAAATTACATAACTTTAAAAAAAATATATATCATTTTTATAAAAATGTCCATACTTATTTCACTGTGGAAACATATTTATTATTATATTTGGTTAATATTGTTAAATTTAAATTCTAAATAATATTTTATAAAATATCAAATAATCAAATAATTTTGTGTAAATAAAATTATTAAATTAATATTATAGGTGGAAAACATGAAACACTATTAAAAAAATTGAAACATAAATTATATAACTTTAAAAAAAGTATATATCATTTTTATAAAAGTGTCCATACGTATAAAAGTAGGTCTAAGTCATGAAGAAATATTAAAAAATTGTGCTACCGGTTCGTGTCGATCCAAATAAAAAATGTGTCGATCCAAAACGATATAACATGTAAAACTATGACAAAACCGGTATAGAAATGATAAAACCGGTAAAGCGCTACCAGATACATTTAAAGTGTCGGTACTTTAATATAATGATCGACACTTCGTGAATTTAAAAGAGAAGCAGTTTTAAATCCTATAAAGTGTCGATACTTTTAAAAAATGTATCGATCCAAAACGATATACCAGGTAAAAATATGATAAAACCGATAAAACGTTACCGGATATATTGAAAGTGTCAATACTTTATATAAGGATCGACACTTTGTGAATTTAAAAGAGAAGCAGTTTTAGCGCCTATAATGTGTCGATACTTTAAAAAAATATATCGATCCACAACGATATAACAAGTAAAAATATGATAAAACCGGTATCAAAATGATAAAACCGGTAAAATGATACCGGATATATTGAAAGTGTCGATACTTTCGTAAGTACGTGTAATAAATTATCGACACTTTCAAAGAAATAGGTAATTATTCTTTCGAAAGTATCGACACCTGACATAAAAGTATCGACACTTTTGTATTTGTATCGATTAAATATAAATAACATATCCGATCAAAATATAAGCTAAATCTCCTCTGAAAATAGATAGAACGGACGAGTTTTTGAAATCGAAGCGTAATTGTTGCTGCATTTCAGAAGGCGTTTCTAAAGCGAAGTTTGTTTGTTTGTTGCTGCAGTCGAATCGAAAAGTATGTTGTCGAAACCCTAATTTTTTATTATTACAGTAATCGCGATAGGGTTTTTATGTGTTGTTTGGGGTTTTGGAGTAAAAAAACATTTGGGAACGATTGCATGGTAGAAAGTGATATTCAAGGAAAAATATAAATGTCGATACTTTTATTAAATATTATAGGTAGAAAATGATATTATAGGTTGTATAAATGTGCCGACACATTTTGGTGTGGCCATTCAAATTCTTTTGAAGAAAACCGTTTTACCACAAGAGTAGTTATCTATATTTGTATATTGAATAAAGTGTATGTAACAAAATAATTTGATTTGCGTAAACTGATATATGAAGGAAAAATGGAGTCAATGGGTTGGAAAATTGTTGGTGGAGCAGATGACTTTGAAATTGAGGCCGAGACTCGAAAGCAACCCAATTGTGGATATATGTACTTCTAGTAAGTATCAATGTCTTTTTGTTATTATTGTTGAAATGGTAATGTGATTAAATTATCGATAAACTTTAAATTGATTACAAATTTTAAATGTTGACAGTATGGCCGAATGCAAAAGGATGAAGGAAGATGGCACACAGAGCGGTTCGGTATGTAAAATGAAATTGATATTGAGTAGTATTTAGTGTTAATGTATTGATTAAGAAACGTTTATGTTTTATATTAGGTGACAAAAGATGTGAGGTCCAAATGGAATTCAATGAGTGATGCTGAAAAGGAACCTTACATCACACAGCCAAGGAATGATAGTAAAGCAAAGAACGGAGGAAAGCACATGAAAATAAGGTATTCATTAAACTTGTAAATACGTTGATACAAAATATATAAGAACTATAACATTATATATTGTTAAAAAATGTAGGAAGTGTCGACAAGATGCAGCATTAAAAAGGTGAATTTATTAATTAAACACCTTAAGGAGAAGGGTCAGTTGAATGTGCTGGGAGAAATAGGTTTTGGATTGTTGGTAAGAGTAAGGGATCGACCTATTCGGAGGGAATTGTGTCGATCCTTGATGGCGCAATTTGATGTCATGCAATGTATTGCTAAATATGGTGATTTTTCATTTCCTCTCGGGATCCCATGTGCTGCAGCCGTATTGGGGGTAGAAAATGATGGCAAAAGTGTTGTAGAAGTCTGTCAGAGTAAGGACTGGAAAGCACTTGCCTCCAAATATGGTTTGAATCATAAGGTGACATATGCTGAAATTGAAGAGGAAATAAAAAGTGGATCTTACGTTGGGGATGAGCTGAAGGCCAGAGTTCTATTATACCTTGTCGGTATCTTTCTTTGTCCAACGGGTAATACGTCAACGAACAAGGAACATATGAAGCTCATTTGTGATGAAGGCTTGAAGGGTGAATTTAATTGGGCTGAATATATCCATTCGAGATTGATTGAATCAATAATCACATTTAAAAAGGGCAGCCAGAGATACCTCAAAGGGTGCATAGCAATCTTAGAGGTAAATGAGTTGAATAACTTTTTTGTGTTTTTATATAAAAATATAAATTTTATTATAAATGCAGGTTGCACTGTTCGATTTTTGGTCGGGCTGTGAGGCAGTGCCGGCTTATGAAAGAATCAGAGTGGCACGCATCCGTGCATGGGGGAAGGAAGAGGTGGTTAGAGTGATGGTGAAGTTGAAGTTGGATAGAGCGAAGAAGCAAGAAAGGGTAATAAATGTAATTAAATAATATTAAGAATATAATCAATGTCTTAATATTGTAATTTAATTTTGAAGGTTATTGGCAAGGATGTAGAGGAGGCAGTGGAGGCAGAGGAGAAGAAAGGAGGGATGGTTGTATTGGGGGATGACGGTGAGTGGGACGACGGTGAGGGAAAACGTAGTAACTTCGACATTTTGATGTCTGAATTGGCTGATATCAAAAAAATCCAATTTGAAATCATGCAAAGACAATCAAGAGTCGAAGAGAAACTTGAGAGAGTCGAAGATACACTTGAGAGGCATAAGGGGGTAGTGGAAGGAAAAATAGATGGAGTGGTGAAAGAAGTAGAGGTGTTGAGGGTGAAGTGGTGAAAGAAGTTGGGGTGTTAAGGGGTGATATTAAGATGGTGACGGGTGAAAAATTTGAGGGAGTGGTGAAGAAGGTTGTGGAATTGAGGAGTGAACTTACGGGGGTGAAGGGGGTGGTTGATAAATACTTGGATGAAGGAGATCAATTGAAGGGTGAAATAAAAGAGATGAAGAGCTATGTAGAAAAAAAATACGATGAACTGAAAAAATATGAAGAAGAAAAGAGGGATGAGGAAGAAGAAGAGATGGAAGAAATGAGGAGGAATGAAGTCAATGTCATTTATATACCGGAGAGTGTTATAGCAGCAGATTTGGATTCGGAATGTCCTGCAGCCCAGAAGAAGAAGCAGAAGGTAAGTTGAATAAAAGAAAACTTAATTTGATTTTTATTATGTTGTTGTGACAAAAATTTGTATGCAAAATTGTAGGTTGAAAAAGCGGATATTCCAAGCGGAATTGATGACATCGAAGCTGCAATTTGTGATTATTTATGGAATAGCGAGTTAGAATCGGAGTAAGTGAAATATATTGTTTTGTGAGTTATATTTAAATATTTCATGACAACATATTAATCCTAATGATTCATACAGATATTCTGTAATCTCAATGGGAAATCAATTCGCTACTGTATACGACGTTGCAACGTTGAAGCCTACGGAATGGGTTGGCGGTGTGGTAAGTAGAAAGTAGAAAATGTTAAAACTTATTGAATATGTTCTGATTGTGTAATTAATTTTGTTAGGTTATCGATTTGCTCGCCTGGACAATATGCTACGATTCTCAAAAGTCACTCCGGATGATTGGCTACCTTCCATACCTCTTAGCGGTGAGTTAAATTAATAAATGTTGAAAAGTAGTGTTATAGACGGTAAATTAATAATGTTTGTTGCGTAATTACAGCAACAGGCGTTGGATGCCAACAACAAAGAAAGTGTTGAGAGTATTTCTACCTTCTGAGGTCTCATATTGGATAACTATGTGAAATTCACCGACTGTGAGAAGGTAAGACACCATACCAATTGCAAATGATGTTTTTGGATATAGAATGTTGAATTTTGTCAAATTGGGTGTGAAATTTGTTGCAGATCATGATCACAATAAACTACCATAATTCACATTGGTATCTGTTGGTGTTGGATATGGTAGATCGTGTTGCAACAATATATGATAGTATGTTTACAACTGAAGCAGCTAAACAGAGAGTGAAGGATGCTAAGAGATTGGTATGTATGTATGTATGAAAGGACATTATGTAAATTATAATGCATAATTTTTTTGGTGCATAACTTCTTATATTTTAATGCAGATTAAAATATTAGATTCTTATAATAAGAAACGCATTTGGGTTGAATCCTGTGGATCTCTAGGAAAGTATCTCTTGAAAAATTTCAAATTTGTGGAGCATAAGAAGAATAAGCAATTGAATGGGTATGAGATGTTATCACAAATAGAAAGCTTAATTTATGCAGTATTCATCATAATTGACATGTGTGGTTTTCAAATTTTGTAACAGACATGATTGCGGCATGTATGTGATGATGTGGATGGAATCGATCGGTTCTACAGGGGCAACTGGTGATTTTGTAAGTGAATAGAAAAATTCGTTTGTGGTAAAATTGTTAAAAGTCGTATATTGAATGCTGTAGTTGACAATACTTAACGTTCTGACAATTTGAATATAGGTTGTTGGAGACTGGGATCGATCGCGAATATTAAACGATCTCGTAAGCCACAATCAAAATAAACGAAGACAGGAGATAACAAAAGCTGCCATATTACATAAGAATAACAAAATGATGCAATGATGTAAATGTAGGGATTTTGTATAAGATTTATAATTTTGTATACGATTTATATTTTTGTATGTGAATATAATTATGAATGAGATGAGAAAAGTTAGCAGTATGTTGTTGTACATGTTTCTTATACAGATTAAGGGTCATGTTGATACTTTGAAGTAAAAGGCAAATTTACAATATGGCCAACAGGGTGCAACCATAAAGTGTCGATCCCAAAAACATCGAAAACCAAAAGTATAATGTAATATGTAATTTTTCAATCTAACCGGTACAAGTATACCGGTTTTATGAGAGAATATGTCTAAATAATGTGCCGATACTATTTTAGTTTGTGTCGATATTTTTGTTCCAGAATGAATGGAAAACAAGGTGCAACCATAAAGTGTCGATCCATATATAAAAAGTGTCGATCCCAAAAACATCGAACCCAAAAGTATAATGTAATATGTAATTTTTCAATCTAACCGGTACAAGCATACCGGTTTTATGAGAGAATATGTCTAAATAATGTGTCGACACTATTTTAGTTTGTGTCGATATTTTTGTTCCAGAATGAATGGAAAACAGGGTGCAACCATAAAGTGTCGATCCATATATAAAAAGTGTCGATCCCAAAAACATCGAACCCAAAAGTATAATGTAATATGTAATTTTTCAATCTAACCGGTACAAGTATACCGGTTTTATGAGAGAATATGTCTAACTAATGTGTCGACACTTTTTAGTTGGTGTCGATATTTTTGGTCCAGAATGAATGGAAAACAGGGTGCACCCATAAAGTGTCGATCCATATATAAAAAGTGTCGATCCCAAAAATATCGAACCCAAAAGTATAATGTAATATGTAATTTTTCAATCTAACCGGTACAAGTATACCGGTTTTATGAGAGAATATGTCTAAATAATGTGTCGACACTTTTTAGTTTGTGTCGATACTAATTTAAATATCAAGTGTTTTTCCACCGTTCACTATATATAGTACTCTTAATTGAGAAACCCTAAACATAAAGGCAAGCAGGCAGAAGATAACTCTTCCTCTTTCTTCTACCGTTATCATAAGTGACGATCAGATATTCAGGTAAATTTATCGATATTTTATGGGTTTGATTGATTTCTATATTGGAGTTTTTTTCCTGAATGTGTTTGTGTTCCATTGTAATAGCATCCAACCAAAATGGCTCCAAAACGTCAGCGTCAGAAGCGAGGTCTTTATCAAAGCTCTTCTCAACCCAGTTCTTCTCAACCACAACCTCCTTCTGTAACGAACGATTCTTCTGAGGAAATCAGGTTTTTCGAAACTCTGAACTTTAGATCCGATATGGAGAAACAAAGATGGCAGACGAGTTTTAAAGTAAGGAAGATTCGTCCCGAACGTGTCATTGACCTGGGTTTCTTGTTTGATGATAAATATGCATTTAGTTTTAAATCCACATTTACATCTTGGGGTTGGCTTGAATTCCTTGGTGTAGAACCAAGATATTATCCCAACCTAGTTAGAGTCTTCTACAACAATGCTTCCTTACAGCACGAGCCTAATAAGACTAATATAATAGGAATTAATACACATGTCATGGGGAAGGATATATATATATCTCTAGAAACTATTACGGAGGGTTTAGGTGTAGCGAATACAGGGGATTCAGATGAAAATGGTGTAGATTGGTCTACAATTAAACGGGTTGATAGAAATAGCCCAATTCACCTCGATGTAGAGTCGAGAGTGTTTCACAAAATGCTCACATGGTATATTCGGCCTAGTGGGGGAAAACATTCAACGCTTCGAGACAACGATTATTGGTGGATAGCAAAGTATAAATCCAAAACGGCTCCAAACATTGCAAAACTCATATTTAATACAATTGTATATATGGTCACAAAGGGAGCAACAATTTCAACTACACTACCATATGGATGTGTCATCACCCATCTGTTGAAGAAGAAGGAAGTTGATTTTTCGCATGACGCCCCTGTTCGATTAACCCGCAAGATTGACATGGTATTTATTAAAAAAGCGGGATATGATTTTGTTGAAAAACTCGGTTGGAAGCGTGTCAAGGAGGTCGGATTAGATCAAGAGAGGGAGAAAATGGACCCCGTTGGCCATGAAGAAGAGCAACCAAGTGGAGACGCAATGATGGAAGAAGCTCCAGTTGCAGAGGATGTCACAATTAAGACCGTGATGGAATACATGGTCAATTTTCGGGAGCATATTGATTCCCTTGTGAGTGGAATGCGATCCGATATTTCATCATTGCAACGTGAAGTCTCCATGTTGCGTAACGAATTACGTCAACGACATCAAACGAGTTAGGTAATTCATTATCTATGTTTCTTAACATTTACACGTTCTGAACTTTATTTTATTTTCTTTTAACAGATGTGGACAACCAAGCGGTCGCAGAAGATGAAGCTGACGATGAAGATGACGATGATGATGACGATGAAGCTGACGATGAAGATGATGACGATGATGATGATGATGATGAAGATGATGATCCAAACAAGTATATCGTGTCTGCAACGCCGCCTTCAAGAAAACTTTTAATTTTTGATCTCAATGGTGTCCTTGCCTACATCCCAAGACTGCCTGCAGGTTTTAATTTTATTCTTTTGTATCCATTATTTTAACATATAAGCGTAGAACTTTAATCTCATTTTCTTCATGTTGTAGATGTTGTCCTCAGAAGAGGATTATTTGAATTTATGCAATTTTGTGTCGACAATTTTGTTGTTGCCCTTTGGTCTTCAAAGATGAGGTTAGAACATGTTTGAAGCAATTGAATTACTGTAGTCAAAATCGTTAATATACATTTGAATGTTAACATTCAAACTTGATTACAATCTCAGGCATAACGTCGACCGTGTACTTGAGAAACTACCTGTATTTTCCGAGCATTTTCTATTCGTGTGGCATAAGTAAACCGGTTTACTTATAAAATAGGTAAATATAAGCGCTACCTATTACATAACTTACATATTATTAAATTACATAACTTACATAAGTAAACCGGTTTACTTATAAAATAGGTAAATATAAGCGCTACCTATTACATAACTTACATATTATTAAATTAAAAACAATAAACATATATATTACATATTTATTATTATCTTTGGTTAATGTTGTTAAATTTAAATTCTAAATATTATTTTATAAAATATCAAAACAATCAAATAATTTTTTGTGTAAATGAAATTATTAAATTAATATTGTAGGTGGAAAACATGAAACACTATTAAAAAAATTGAAACATAAATTACATAACTTTAAAAAAAAGTATCGATCCTTTTTATAAAAAGTATGGACACTTTCAATATAATAGGTAAAAATATGATGTAATAGGTAGCGCTTATATAATGTAATAGGTGTCGTTTATATAATGTAATAGGTAGTGGTTATATTGTAAAGTATCTATCCTTTTTATAAAAGTGTCTATACTTTTTTCACTATGGAAAACATTAATTTAAGGTTATCTTTTGAGTGAGTTTTAAGATATTAATTTAGTAATTATAGGCGTCTAATGATTTATTTTTTACGTTACGATATATATTATTATTAAATTAAAAATTTTTAATATTATTTTATAAAATATCAAAACAATCAAATAATTTTTTGTGCAAATGAAATTATTAAATTAATATTGTAGGTGGAAAACATGAAACATACTTAAAAAAAAATTGAAACATAAATTACATATCTTTAAAAAAAGTATCGATCATTTTTATAAAAAGTATGGACACTTTCAATATAATAGGTAAAAATATGATGTAATAAGTAGCGCTTATATAATGTAATAGGTATCGCTTATATAATGTAATAGGTAGTGGTTATATTGTAAAGTATCTATCCTTTTTATAAAAGTGTCTATACTTTTTTCATTGTGAAAAACATTAATTTAAGGTTATCTTTTGAGTGAGTTTTAAGATATTAATTTAGTAATTATAGGCATCTAATGATTTATTTTTTACGTTACGATATATATTATTATTAAATTAAAAATTTTTAATATTATTTTATAAAATATCAAAACAATCAAATAATTTTTTGTGCAAATGAAATTATTAAATTAATATTGTAGGTGGAAAACATGAAACATACTTAAAAAAAATTGAAACATAAATTACATATCTTTAAAAAAAGTATCGATCATTTTTATAAAAAGTATGGACACTTTCAACATATTATAATAAAATAGGTAAATTTGCAATGCTATCGGTATAAATATACCGGTTTTATCCGCGAATAGGTCTACAACCTATATCGACACTTTTTAATATTGTGTCGGTACTTTATGTCCAGATTGGAAGAAAAATGTGTCGATACATTGTCAAAAAGTGTCGACATTTACACATCGGAACCCATAATTATAATGTAATAGATAATTTTGTAATATAACCGGTATAAATATACCGGTTTTATGCGCGAATAGGTCTACAACCTATATCGACACTTTTTAATATTGTGTTGGTACTTTATGTCCAGATTGGAAGAAAAATATGTCGATACGATTTAAAAAAGTGTCGACATTTACACATCGGAACCCAGATTTATAATGTAATAGATAATTTTGTAATATAACCGGTATAAATATACCGGTTTTATGAGCGAATAGGTCTACAACCTATATCGACACTTTCTAATATTGTGTCGGTACTTTATGTCCAAATTGGAAGAAAAATATGTCGATACCATTTAAAAAAGTGTCGGTAATTTTAAGTAACGCGGTTTTTCTTCCTTCATTCAAAATATTTATATGTACATACAATAGGAGTCATGTTGATACTTACGATATATTATATGGAGATCGTTGTCATTCCATTCCGTCTTCGAAAAAATCAGTTGATGTTGGCTGTGTGCTTGTACTCAAACTGATCTTGACTTGAGGACATGTTAGTTTGTTATGTCCCTCACCGTTGCAGTACCCACATCGCCTAATTTTCTTCTCGACCTTGTTCTTCGGTACTTCTTTTCGCTTGCATTGTTTTCGTTGAGGGTCACGAACATTGTTTACTACAATGCTCTGGTTGACTGAATGATTCAAACCAAACGAGTTTTCTAATTCTTCTATTAGTTTTTTCATCTCATCTCTTGCGGTTTTGAAAGACTCGTCTGTCTTTGATGCAATGTAGCATAACCTACTTGACGTTGAACGTAGAGCAGCGAACCTTGCCATTTGCATCACTTCTGGAGACACATTCAAATCAACATAGCTGGGTGCAGAAGCCTTTGCATCATTAGTCCACCTACTTTGAATCAAAGTCCCGGGCAAATATGTGTAGTCCAATTGCTTCAAAATGTGAAGTTGATGGCGACACGGAAGTCCAACGGTCTCGAATTTTTTGCAGGAGCAAATTAGAGTTTTCGTACGAGAATCAAAACTAATTTCAAATTTCCTATTTTTTTCTGCGTACTTTGACAAAATATAATGTTGACATTCATCTGATAAGGACTTAATCTCTGCCTCAATCCGGTACAATGTCTCCCGTATAAGTTCATCTTGGAACACACAAAAAGATTCGCGGGTAAAAATCGCAGCGGCATGGCTTTCAAGGTCGACCAGTTTTGTGATCTGGAAGGGCTTCGTATGGGAACTTAAGTAATCCGCTTTCAACTCGTTCATACGCATTCTACTAATTCCATATTCAATTGCACGAACAACATCTAAATATGTCTTCTTGTGTTTCAGTGCAATAGCTAGTGAAGCATTCATAGACTCGCACCTTTGTGTTGAGCGAATATTGGCAAAGAAATGACCGGTTAGATATGCTTGTGCCCATAAGTGTCGTGTATTTCCCTTCTTAATCACCCATGGATGCTTTTGGACGTTGAATTCTAAAACAACCGAACGCCATTGAATATCAAATTCCTTGGTTGTCCACCAGGAAGCCATGCATTTTGAGAATGCTACTGTAAACTTTGGGTCACCAATGTTAGCTTGTGCATTGCGAGAAAGATGCCAAGAACATAATTTGTGCTTAGCATAAGGGATAACAAATTTGATAGCCCTCTGCATTGCCCTATCCCCATCGGTTACAACGGAAATAGGTGATTTATTCATCATGGCTTCTAAAAAATTCTGTAGCACCCACTCGAAAGATTGAGATGTCTCGTCAGCGATTATGGCAGTGGCAAACACAATTGTGTTATGGTGATGATTGACACCAACAATAGGCATAATTGGTCGACTATACAAATTATCTTTGTACGTTGTGTCGAACGCAATTACATCACCGAAGCATGTGTAATCCGATCTCGATGTAGAATCCGACCAAATAAGATTATACAATGCCCCCGATTCGTCTACCGAGTATGTCATAAAAAACCCGGGATCATCATGTTTCTTATAATCAAAGTAGGCAATAAGCGCATTCACATCCCCATCGACGATTTCCTTTGCTTTACCTCTTTGAAGTGCATTGTAGAGGTCTTTATGTGTAAATCCAACATTATGATAGCCCCCTGCCTGCTGCGTTAAATAGTTCATTACTTGTGACGTGCCAACACCGACCTCTTTCAATATTGTTGCCTCATCGATATCAGCCTTACTTACAGCTCTATTAGAACGCATAAATGGTGTCATAGCAGGTGTGCACAATGCATGATTATGTTTCTGATCAGACTTACTTATAACCCACTGATCGTTTGTATTTGTTGCTGTAACTACGACTTTAGCCTTACATCCTGTTCTTGTGACTGGCGTATGAGCACATTGACGATCAACAGTATTGACTTTTGATACTCGAAACCCTTCTTTGGAACAACAAAATTCTTGTGTCTTCACATTCCCTTCCACGTCAAGCCGTGTTGTTCCCTTACGTGCACTAAACCCATGTTCCCGTGCGAATCCCTTGTAAAAGTGCCAAGCTTGATCACGTGAACAGAAGAGCTGACCAACCAATCTGTCAGATTCATCAACATTATGTACTTCATGGCATTCCTCGGTTGGCTTAACATTGTCTACATCAGTATTATCCATGGCAAAAATTTTGTTGTGCAAGTTCAGTGCTCTAGGAGTTGATGGAGATGTAAGCAAAGGTTCATTTTGAACATGTTTCAGTCGTGCTGCTTTCAATAGGATGTGGCATTGGTAGTGGTAGTTAAAGGGTGGGTACAACATTAAATTCGCAGTACATATTTAGGTATGTACAATAACTACAAGTATATATTATCATTAAATTTAGGTATGTACAATAACTACATATTTAGGTATGTTTGTTAACTACATATTTAGGTATATACATCTTTTGAGTGAGTTTTAAGATATTAATTTAGTAATTATAGGCGTCTAATGATTTATTTTTTACGTTACGGTATATATTATTATTAAATTAAAAACAATAAACATATATATTACATATTTATTATTATCTTTGGTTAATGTTGTTAAATTTAAATTCTAAATATTATTTTATAAAATATCAAAACAATCAAATAAATTTTTGTGTAAATGAAATTATTAAATTAATATTGTAGGTGGAAAACATGAAACACTATTAAAAAAAATTGAAACATAAATTACATAACTTTTAAAAAAAATATCGATCCTTTTTATAAAAAGTATGAACACTTTCAATATAATAGGTAAAAATATGATGTAATAGGTAGCGCTTATATAATGTAATAGGTATCGTTTATATAATGTAATAGGTAGTGGTTATATTGTAAAGTATCTATCATTTTTATAAAAGTGTCCATACTTTTTTCATTGTGGAAAACATTAATTTAAGGTTATCTTTTGAGTGAGTTTTAAGATATTAATTTAGTAATTATAGGCGTCTAATGATTTATTTTTTACGTTACGATATATATTATTATTAAATTAAAAATTCTAAATATTATTTTATAAAATATCAAAACAATCAAATAATTTTTTGTGCAAATGAAATTATTAAATCAAATAATTCAAATTGAAAATTAAACAACAAATCAATTAAACATTGTTGTGGGTACATTATTTGAACATTGCTATGGGTACATTATTTGGAAAAATAATGTTCCAGACTTTGTTAGAAATAACTCTTTTTCATTGGATTAATTTCGTTTTTGTGGGTACATTATTTGAACATTGTTATATATAAATTTGTTGTGTATGTATGTTTTGGTTTGATTATATTGTATGTATATTTTCATTCAGTTGAGATGGGTTATGTATAACAAAACAATCTATCTCTTCCATGTGAGTACTTTATTCCAACCATGTGACAAGTGTGACAACTCCATCAACTCACAACTCAACTTTGAACTCAATCAATATTGTCTTTTAGCTTGATGGTTCATAAAGCATGTTACTTGAACAGTATGAATCAATTATGCAATTTTCATGTTCAATTTAACACTGCATTTCAAATTCATTTCATATATAATTGGAGTTTGAATTTAAATTTCAATTTGAGTTTCAATATATATTTCGGCTCCACTATAAATATTAGCCCAAGCCAATATGCATGTTATCATTGATTATTCCTAATTTCCATTGTTTTTTCCAACGTTTAAACGCGAGGGAAATCCCGACCATTGTATTTTTTGGTCAACTTTAAAGCGTCAGAAACGTTTCGGGCGTATGATTTGGGTGGTATACAAGAAATGTAACAAATAGCAACTAAAATCATAAGTCCGAAATGCTTCTGAGTACCACCCAAATCATAAGTCCGAAATACTTCCGATGCTCATCAAAATCCAAAGCTCATATGGTGCCAAGCAAAAGGAAATCAAAATCCAAATCTCATATGATGCCAAGCAAAAGGAAATCAAAATCTACAACTTGAGTTTGAACATTGATATGATATGTTCAGTTGTTATCATGTTGGGATTTTCTCGTTTTTGATTGCTTGGATAGTTGTTCTCTTGCTTCTTCAAGTGTCCTTAGCTTGTAATTTATAGCTTGGAATGTGTTTGATGTTGTATATATTATTATTAAATTAAAAACAATAAACATATATATTACATATTTATTAATATCTTTGGTTAATGTTGTTAAATTTAAATTCTAAATATTATTTTATAAAGTATCAAAACAATCAAATAATTTTTTGTGCAAATGAAATTATTAAATTAATATTGTAGGTGGAAAACATGAAACACTGTTAAAAAAATTGAAACATAAATTACATAACTTTAAAAGAAGTATCGATCCTTTTTATAAAAAGTATGGACACTTTCAATATAATAGGTAAAAATATGATGTAATAGGTAGCGCTTATATAATGTAATAGATATCGTTTATATAATGTAATATGTAGTGGTTATATTGTAAAGTATCTATCCTTTTTATAAAAGTGTCCATACTTTTTTCACTGTGGAAAACATTAATTTAAGGTTATCCTTTGAGTGAGTTTTAAGATATTAATTTAGTAATTATAGGCGTCTAATGATTTATTTTTTACGTTATGATATATATTATTATTAAATTAAAAATTCTAAATAATATTTTATAAAATATCAAAACAATCAAATAATTTTTTGTGCAACTGAAATTATTAAATTAATATTGTAGGTGGAAAACATGAAACACTATTAAAAAAAATTAAAACATAAATTACATAACTTTAAAAGAAGTATCGATCCTTTTTATAAAAAGTATGGACACTTTCAATATAATAGGTAAAAATATGATGTAATAGGTAGCGCTTATATAATGTAATAAGTAGCGTTTATATAATGTAATAGGTAGTGGTTATATTGTAAAGTATCTATCCTTTTTATAAAAGTGTCCATACTTTTTTCACTGTGGAAAACATTAATTTAAGGTTATCTTTTGAGTGAGTTTTAAGATATTAATTTAGTAATTATAGACGTCTAATGATTTATTTTTTACGTTACGATATATATTATTATTAAATTAAAAATTCTAAATAATATTTTATAAAATATCAAAACAATCAAATAATTTTTTGTGCAAATGAAATTATTAAATTAATATTGTAGGTGGAAAACATGAAACACTATTAAAAAAAATTGAAACATAAATTACATAACTTTAAAAGAAGTATCGATCCTTTTTATAAAAAGTATGGACACTTTCAATATAATAGGTAAAAATATGATGTAATAGGTAGCGCTTATATAATGTAATAGGTAGCGTTTATATAATATAATAGGTAGTGCTTATATTGTAAAGTATCTATCATTTTTATAAAAGTGTTCATACTTTTTTCACTGTGGAAAACATTAATTTAAGGTTATCTTTTGAGTGAGTTTTAAGATATTAATTTAGTAATTATAGGCGTCTAATGATTTATTTTTTACGTTACGATATATATTATTATTAAATTAAAAATTCTAAATAATATTTTATAAAATATCAAAACAATCAAATAATTTTTTGTGCAAATGAAATTATTAAATTAATATTGTAGGTGGAAAACATGAAACACTATTAAAAAAAATTGAAACATAAATTACATAACTTTAAAAGAAGTATCGATCCTTTTTATAAAAAGTATGGACACTTTCAATATAATAGGTAAAAATATGATGTAATAGGTAGCGCTTATATAATGTAATAGGTAGCGTTTATATAATGTAATAGGTAGTGCTTATATTGTAAAGTATCTATCATTTTTATAAAAGTGTCCATACTTTTTTCACTGTGAAAAACATTAATTTAAGGTTATCTTTTGAGTGAGTTTTAAGATATTAATTTAGTAATTATAGGCGTCTAATGATTTATTTTTTACGTTACGATATATATTATTATTAAATTAAAAATTCTAAATATTATTTTATAAAATATCAAAACAATCAAATAATTTTTTGTGCAAATGAAATTATTAAATTAATATTGTAGGTGGAAAACATGAAACACTATTAAAAAAATTGAAACATAAATTACATAACTTTAAAAGAAGTATCGATCCTTTTTATAAAAAGTATGGACACTTTTAATATAATATAATGTAATAGGTAAATTTGCAATGCTATCGGTGTAAATATATCGATTTACTTATAAAATAGGTAAATATAAGCGCTACCTATTACATTATATAAGCGCTACCTAGTATGTTATTGTACTTTATAATATTTCCGGTTAAATAATATAACATAACCGGTCTAAATTTTAACCGATCACTTGTTTAACCGATCACGCCGTATATTAACCGTTTTTTAGGCACCGTACAGCAGAACTACCCTAGGCGTCCTTCCAGTGAGTAACTCGAGTAGTACAACTCCAAAGCTGTAAACTTCACTTTTTACAAGTAGATGTCCAGTCATAGCATACTCGGGAGCTACATACCTAAAAATCAATCTCATTCTGCCTTAGTGTCAAATTTAAGCATGAGAGCAAGATTTGTATTAGTGTATGAAAACCAACCCAAATGTGCCCATTACGCGAGTAGATAGGTAATTTGTTCTGCCTTCGGGTGCTTGTTTGGCAAGGCCAAAATCGGCAACTTTAGCATGAAAGTTATTCTCGAGTAATATGTTGGTGCTTTGAAATCTCGGTGGATAACGCATGGCTGGGAGTCCTCGTGCAGGTATGCAAGTCCTCTTGCAGCATCAAGTGCAATCTTCATTCTAGTGTCCCAGTCCAATGGAGACTTTACTCCCAAGGGGCCTGAGGCAAAACAGGAGCAAAGTCAGTATCATGTATCACAACTGGCTGCATATAAAAGGATAACATCAACGAATGAGCTGCACATGGGGTCAAATGGAGAGAGGCAAGATACCGTGGAGCCAGGCTTCTAAGCTTCCATTTGGAACAAGCTCATAACAAAGCAGGTTTTGTGAAGACTTGCGACTGCTATGGTAACCTATAAGTTTCACAAGATTACGATGATGCAACCTGCTAAGCATCTCGACTTCAACCAAAAATTCTTTATCTCCTTGAGGCCCTCCATTGGTAAGCCTTTTAATTGCTACAGCAGTACCATCACTTAAAACACCCTTGAAAACTCTGCCGAACCCCCCTTCCCCTAGTATGCTTGAAGATGCAAAGTTGTTTGTTGCTTCTTTGAGTTCCTCATACTGTAGAAACCTTGTACTGCTTGGGTGGGGAAAAGAACCTGCTTGCGCAACAGCATCAGTTGTCCTTGGCTTTACTGTATATAAATAAATAAAAATCGAAGGAGTTAGAACATTCATATTATCAGCAAGAATCTGAATATAAAACAATACCACAAAAATCAATCTGCATTCTTGTTCATAAGGTGTGACTAAAAGTGCAAAATCGGGCAAACTGAGTGTTCATTTTTTCGGTTCTGCTAATGTTTAGGGTTCTGAAACCTTCCTCTCGCTCTATTATTTCAGCTCAATGCTGATTCAGTTCACAATGATAGTCATCCATGAAAAAAAAATTCTTATTTGATATTTCATCCACGGAATATAAAACTAGTTTTTGTGCTTATACGCATACCGGATTCCTTGGGAGACGCTTTTGTCTTTCCTTCATGGAATGTGCACAAACAAATTATCAGCACTGATATTATAGAAAAAACCAGTATGCCAGCAGAACAAATAAGATGACACTTTATCAGAACAAATACAACAAGATAAGGAAATCTCCATATATAAAATTACAGAAAACAGAAGCTATGAACTGCCAGGAAAACCATAGATATAAGAACAATAACCATTATCCAACCAAGAAAAACATAGAAGTCATTTGATCCTAGAAGAACTTAAGTTTTATATCATAAGTTACCTGGGGAAGGCGCTGGAGGCTCAAACCAGGTAAAATTAAGGATTTTGTAATCTCCAACTACACTTGGATCAAAACGAACCCTATGCATCACATGTGAAGAGTTTATTTTTGATGCATCACTGGCAGAGAAACTGATCCCTGTGTGTGGAATAATATCCATAGAGAGATTTAATCTTGATAAGCTGAGCATATAAAAATTGATAATCTCATAAGGCAACAAATCAAGCTGAGAAGTAAACTCGACTAGAAAAGCATTCCGATCTGCGTTTTGAGAGACATTTAGAAGAAGGTCAAGCTTTATGGGATACACACAATGACAACCATGAGTCCCACAATGACAACCATGAGTCCCTCGTTTCAAAATTGAATCTGGTTTGCAACAACCTGGCCAAGTGATAATACTATGTAAGCATATCATACAGTGTAAAGATATAAACGATGAATGCTCAGGATGCGACCTTCTAACTACATCGTGCATAGAAGTTGCTATAAAAGATGTCGGTTGTGATATTACGTGGGTGAAAACAAGAGAAATCAGGGTGGTGAAAACTGAATGCTAGCGTTGCCATTTTTTTTCCTTTCTCTTTTTTTTCACTCAGTTGTACTTATCCGTGCCGGCCTTTTCAATTGGGTAAACTAAATCTATGATTTTTAGGGATAAATTACACGTTTAGTATCTAACTTATTACTTATATTTTTTTGGTATCTAAACTTTATTATTTTTCAAAATCATGCTTAATATTTAATTTAGATTTTAATTTGGTACCCGCTGTTAAAAAATTAACAGAACTATTGACATGACAATTTTTATTTTTTTTAAAGATGGCATGACATTATTTATTGGTCACACGTCAACGTCACCATTTAGTTGTACCAAAATGAAACATAACTAAACGATATATATGATTTTGGAATAAAATAAAGTTTGGATACTAAAACAAAATAAAATTAATAATTTAAGTAATAAATATATGATTGACCCTTTTTAATAAAATTAATATTATTTGTTTACAATGTTTTTTGTTTATTGATAATATGTACGTATATTATATAAATATAATAACTATTTGAACTTGTTATTAAAAAGCCTATTTGAATTTGAATAGAAAATAGTATTCATTTTTAATATTAAAATTATTCAATAAATTTTAAAACAACTATGATTATTAATGTTTATGCAAGTTCTATTTTTCATCAATGAAGCTAAAACCTGTCACTTGTATGAGATTTTATTTAAGAATTTCAATGTTAGGGCTTTCCATATGAATATGAGTAGTTGTTAATGCTCTGCTACTCCTTGTATTATTCCCGGAAAGTCATCAAACATGTGATGTGCTCAAGGAAATGGAGCAAGCCACTCATCAATTACAGACAAGCTTTATCAAAAGCAGAAAAATAAACTAAAAAGAAACTCTTTTTTAATTTAAAAAATAAATAAAGTGGAAGGAATATATGTTCATAGTACAAACTCAAGCTCAGCAGTACAAACACAAGCAATAGTACAATCTCTAACATGTATGATAAGCTCGAGCTCAAACTCGATGAATTCTACAATGGCAGACTTGAATATCTATATAATCTAAAGATTTTCCATTGGTGTGAATGGGATACTCTTGGGTCTGGAAACTTGATATGCTACAAATATGGCCACACAAAGAGCTGCTACTGAGAATAAAAGAGAAAATGCAGAGGCGACATCCCAGGAGCTGCTCGGTTTCGTCGACCCTGTTAGATTAGAACCACCTGAAGCAAAATCCAACGACACCCAATCGCAGTTAATAGTGTAGTGTCCGGATCCGTGCCATGGATTCCCGTCAACCGGATACCAGAGTGCAACCGACATCTTGCTTGATCCGCCTATTGTGAATTGAACATCCTGCAATTCAACAGGGAAGTTAACAAGGTAAACAGTTTTAACTGAAATGAAACACAGCATTATCGTTTATGTTTCGACATCAGAATTATATAACATATTCGATCTTCGTTCGAAATGTCAGCCTACTGCTAAGGTAGCATACTTTACCAAAAACACTCTAGTAAGGTGATTGGGAGCAGGGGATCCTATAATCCATGTTAAATCAACCCACAGTAAGAAAAAACAATTCAAAGCCATGATCCATGACCTCGCTTGTATGACAAGCGACAGAAACAGCATGCATACATCATCATAATACACGAAGATCAAAAGAAGTCATAAATACAAAAAAATGTGGTTTATATTTGTTTGCATTTGATACCATTAGTTAAAAGCCTAAAGCCAGAAGATTATTTTCAAATCTGTTGAAGACGGTCCATGGTTCTCAAAGGCCGAGAAAATTCGAAATAATATGTTTCCTTCTGACCTCCCGTAGAGTAAGGGTTATCTTCTTCCACAAAACCTGTTAAAAGTAAGTACTTTTTCCATTAAGAAATTGAAAGAGGAAGTATTGGCACCAAGGGGTAGTTTAGTATTTCTTACATGTTACATAATATATGGGTCTGTTAGGTTTTCTAAAATAATTTTTTATTTTCATATTTAGGAACACTACTTTCTTGAATGAAAAGCACATTTGACAAATAGAAAGAAATAAAAGTTTGTTTTCAATAATTAAAATGTGTTTGCTATCTGTTTTCTCATAATAGAAATATGCTAAATAAAATAGAAGAGTCCCTCTATTTATATGAATTCGAACTAGGATTAGAAATTTGATAGTTAAAAATTATTGTGAAAATAATATTTGCGTTTGTAAGGATTTCAATCAAAACCAATTCATCAATTAAATTAAAAGTTACAAATCCCTGTTTTAAACTCCTTCAATTTTTCAAAGAATTTTTGCCTTTTTTTAATTTGGGTAAACTACACTAATAGTCATTGAACTTTTAAGTCACTTTCACTTTGGTCACCGAAAAAAAACTTCATTAGAGTAATTTCCGTTAAGGAAAACTTTTATTTCAATCATTGGGGCATTAACCATTAACGACAACTAGTGTGGCATGCTAAAAAACCTAGTAGCCACCGCTCCTTTCACCGTCGTTTTTGCCTCTGTTTGAAAAGACCACCAAAAAACTCTTAGGTGACGTTTGGTTCACTGGAATGTTTCTGAGGGAATTGAAATCTATGAAGGAATTGAAATCTGTCAGGAATTGAAATCTGAATCTGAAACCTGTTTGGTTGGCAGGAAATTGTATTGGAATCCAATTCTATATTCTGTTTGGTTCGCAAACATGTCAAATGAATTTGATTTCAGTAATGTAAAATGACAGAATTGCCCTTCTTGTTACTTTGCTTAATTTTAGTTTGTGTTATAACTTACATGTATCAATATATTATAAAAATTTAAAAAATATTAAAATTTTATTTTATTGATTGATTATTCATTTCAATAAATTATAAAAATCATGCTAATAAACATCATACGTTAAAATCATCCCAATCAAAATATGTTAATAAGTTACCAAAAGATAAAACAATATTTCGATACATCCCAATCGAAGTATGTCAATTAGTTACCAAAAAATATACCAAAAACTTACAAGTCAAGAAAGGGTTAGCACCCTTGAACTGCCCTTTCGGTACTACGTAATTTCTAATTGTCTTTAATTAAGAAGATTGTAACTTTAAATTAAAAGGTAAAAATAACGATCTCAATCACTTACCCCTGATGGATTCAGAAGTATACCCTTAAAAGAGTCGAGAAGCATGTTAGAAAAAAAGGCAATGAAGATAAATAAACTAAAGAAAAATAAAATAAATGAAATAAAAATAAATGAAAAAAGGAAAATAAGATAAAGAAAAGACATAAAAAACTAAATAAAAATAAAAAAACTAAATAAAATAAAGAACATAAAAAACAAAAGAAATAAAAAAATGAAGAAAAATAAAAAATAATCAAAATAAAGATAACGAGCAAAATAAAATAAAAATAAGAATAAAATAAAAGAAAATACTAATAATTGTATATACATAATAAATAAATAAATAAATAAATAAACAAGAGGAAAATACAAATGAAAATAAATATATAAATAAAACTAATATAAAAAAATAAAATAAGAAAAGATAAAGATAAAAGAAAAAAGAAAAAAACAAATAAAATAAAATAAGAAAAATAAAAAGTAAATATATGGAAAATAATGATGAGGGTAGTATGGTCAAATTTTACATTCCCTCCTCAAAATGGTTTTAATTCCCTCATGTTATGGATGAAATTTACTTTACCTCCCTTGATGGAAAGTTAAAGTCATTTAGGATTCCAATTCCCTTTGAAAACTTAAACCAAACATGGGAAAGTGGTGGAATTGGATTTCAATTCCCCTAATTCCAAGGAATTCCTGCGAACCAAACGCCACCTTATTCTCTTTCGTTCTTTTATTTAAAACTCATTGAAAAACCTTCCAATCACCTAAAATCTTAATTGAAATTAAATGCTAAAACTTTCCGATCTACCACTATCAAGTGTCGGAACAACTTGAAATCTAACTATTTTAATCTTCTGGCCAAATAGAAGCTTCTCAATATCAGGATTGACTAACGGTTGCTCCGTTCATTGGAAAGTTGGCCTTTGCGGCGACAACCATTTAGAACCTTAGAGGTTTTTTTGGGGGAAGAAGACTTGAACGTGTCAAGTCAGCTTTTCTTAACGAATGTTACAGTAATAAAAGCGAATTAAAGATCAGTGATTGT